GGTCCCAGCCCTATTGGCCTCCAAGCTCTTTATCTAACACAGTGGTTTTCAAACCTCAAAGTGTATCAGAATCATCTGGAGAGTATGTTAAAATTTAGATTGCTGGCCGGGCGCGGTGGCTCACGCCTGTAATCCCAGCACTTTGGGAGGCCGAGGCGGGCGGATCACAAGGTCAGGAGATCGAGACCACAGTGAAACCCCGTCGCTACTAAAAATACAAAAAAATAGCCGGGCAAGGTGGCGGGCGCCTGTAGTCCAGCTACTCAGGAGGCTGAGGCAGGAGAATGGCGTGAACCCGGGAGGCGGAGCTTGCAGTGAGCCGAGATCCCGGCCACTGCACTCCAGCCTGGGCGACAGAGCGAGACTCCGTCTCAAAAAAAAAAAAAAAAAAAAATTTAGATTGCTGAGCCACACCACTGGAGTTTCTGATTTAGTAGTTTTTGAGTGGGGCTGAGAATTTGTCTTTCTAACAAGTTGCGGATGCTGCTGACCAGAAGAGCACACTTTGAGAACTACTTATCTAACATACCAACAACAGTCCTGCCTCTGGCCCTTTGCATTGCCTGGGACATTCCTATCCCAAATGGCCTCAATGCTTCTTATTTACGTTTTCTTACTTCCTTATAATATTTTCTTATTTCCTTGACTGAACTATCTTCTAATCAGTAGCACAGCTCTCAACCTATGGAATCCGGCAGCTCTACCCCTACCTCTCCAAAGAAAGGCTGTTAGATCACCCTGCAGCAGAGTAGAGGCCACAGATGGCAAGCTTCTCCCCTGTGCTGAGCTTCTAATCAGCTCTGGAGACTCCTTCTCTTAAATATGGACAGATACATATAACCAGACATCTGAGAACAACACCTAGTGTAAAATACAGACACCACAACAAATTAACTAAGGTTAAAAAAAGATTAAATTCACCTTCATTCAGGTTTAATGGTAGTATGTGATCACATTAAACAGCAAATATCATTTGCAGCATATTGTTTTTTAACCAGATTCCCTATAGCATGGCCTATTTCAAAACAGACTGGTGTTTTAAATCTATTAGTTGGATTTAAACAAATTCTGGATAATGCTCAAGAACAATGCTTTCGAAATATTTTCTTTGAGGTAAGCTAGCCAAAACTTCACTTTTCCTGCCAAACTTATCAAGTTGCTTAAATTCTTGTATGCTTAACTGTATTTATCAGAGCAAAGTTCATTTTCCAACAAATGAAACTAAAGCCACTTTTTAACTCCCATTCAAATAACTTTCTTCTTCAAATTTTCCCGCTTTTGTTTCTCAAGGCCTCTTCATTCTCTATCTCCTGCCAAAAAGCCTCTTGGATTGAGTTCTATCTACGCAGGGTAATTCACCAGTTCTTATAACATAATACAAGTAGGAAAAGATGAAACACATGCATATAATTTCACAAATTCTCAAAATCTCAGTAAGACTACATAAAAGTTTTTTTGTTTTTTCTTCTTAAAGATAAAAGCTAGAGATATACTTGACACACATTGCAGCTGGATGCCAAATGGTCAAGTGTTGAAATCAACATTCAGCTGACACCAAATGTCACCATTATATAAGAAAATACTGGGATACAGGAACAAATATAAATCTTAGACCGTATGCTCCAGATACCTGAGACCAAGGTATCTCAAGTTAGTGTTCCTCAAGGCAGACCATGCCACCACTAGGTGCCAACTAACCCCAGGAGTGCCAAGGGATGGGTGTTTGTTGGAGGTGTAGATGGAGCTTAGACATGGGGCCTGGTGTATGTGTGAGGTCTTTCAAAGTGCAGCACATATTGCCAAGGGTGGGAAGGGAATTGGGGCAGGCCTCAGACCACAGGGTGGCTCAGTGGCTCTCTCTACAACATGACATACCAAAACAGAACCCAACAAGTCCAAAAATTCTAACTCTGATCTTAGACTTCCAGGTCTTCCTAAGAATATATTTGTCAAGGTAGACAGAAAGAGAAAATGTTTAAGTGTGTAAGTTTGTTGTATAATTTTAAGCTATGTAGACATATGTTACCTAGGTCTCCATTTGTATTGCTACCCCAAGCCCATCTGTTAAATGCTTAAAAAACATTTAAAATGCTTTTAACAAAGCATTTAACATGCTTAAAAAGCATGTTAAAAGCCCAACGGTCTAGAATGCTTATAAATATTTGACATTGTTACAATTATTAAATACAATAGTAACCTGGACTGATTTTTTATCAGATTCTGATATGGCTGACTCACTTTTACTATTCAGGTTCCAGCTTACATATACCTCCTCAGAGGAGACTTTCCTGACCACATTGTATAAAATAGCCCTCAGGAATCATCCGTCATCACATTATCCTGTTTGATTTTCTTCACTTCCCTTACTGATATCCAAATTTATGCAAATTCCATCACAGCAGAGACCTTGCCTGCCTTGTTATTCATGTATAGACTAATGGATTCTTATTTTATTCCATGGGTTATTTATAACCTCTAACTGTCATTATCTATTGTATGGCTCCAATTTTCCAAGATTTGGCCTGGCCAGTATGTCACTTGTTATCCTTTTGTCATGTCCCCTCCCTTTTTTTTTTTTTTTTTTTCATTTTTAGCACTTCTTTACTTTCTGGCACCACAAGATATTCGAGGTTCATTGTATACTTTTCTTCTCCAGCCCAAGGAGCTCCTATTATTTTTCAGTCCTTTTAATATTCAATAATTACAATGACTACATAATATAGACTAAAGTGAATTTACCAAAGTAATTCTACTCTATGAGTTTGGCTCTGCCTAAGTGGCTGACTGACACTTCCAGACATCATCTATAGTTTACCAACTAACTACATAGAAAAGTATTATATCTGTAAATAATAATGTTTGGAACAACATTTAAACATTTTAAATATTAAGTACCAAAAATATTATGCATTGGTGCTAAGACCAAGACCTTAGCAGATCATTCTTACAAGGCACATGGGGAAGTTATTAGGTTTTCGTTACTGCTGTTATTTATTGATTTTATAAACTCTGACAGAGTTACTCTGTGCAGGTAAAAGGAATGGAATGTGACTTACTCCACTATATGTAGAGCTGTGTCCTCAGGAAAGTTACCCAACTGTTCTAAGCCTCAATTCCTCCTCTGTAAAGCAGGATAATAGTGCTTATTTCACAAGGTTGGTATAAGATATCCCTGGAAAGCAGTTAGCAAAGGACCTGGCACATAATAAGAGCTCACTAATACCAGATATTTCATTATTGACCTCTGCAGCTATAGCTATATGACCTTTTATATACTATATAAGGAAGGAACTTACAAAGTTTCATAGGGTACATGAGCCATTTTCCCTTAATTAAGCAAATCAGGCCAGGCACAGTGGCTCACACCTGTAATCCCAGTACTTTGAGAGGCAGAGGCAGGTGGATCACCTGAGGTCAGGAGTTTGAGACCAGCCCGGCCAACATGGTGAAACCCTGTCTCTACTAAAAATACAAAAATTAACTGGGCATGGTGGTGCATGCCTGTAATTCCAGCTACTTGGAAGGCTGAGGCAGGAGAATTGCTTGAACCCAGGAGGCAGAGGCTGCAGTGAACTGAGATCACGCCACTGTACTCCAGCCTGGGCAACAACAAGACCCGTCTCCAAAAAAAAGAAACAATGAAGCAAACTAGTAACATTAATAAAACATTATTTTATGCATTTCTTTCCAAGCATCTGCTTTACTCAAGAAACTTTAGGAAACTAACAGTTGCCTGGGTGGAAAAAGGGGGAGAGGGGAAGTGGGACAGAGGGTGGAGAGTCCTCCCATCAACAGCACGGTTTTCAGCTCCCACTTCTTGCCTTTAGATACATAAATTTTTTCCTAATTGGTAGATGGATCAACTCTATCTTGCTCTATCCTCTTAAAGGAAAAAAACTTTATATACTAAAGGAATTTCAATTAGTAATATTAGCTGGTGACTTAGTTAAGTTTTGGCTAGCATTTCATAGGCAGATAGCTCTTTGAAGTGAACCTTACTGGCTACGTGGTTTTAACCATAACTTGGTTCCATGACGGCAAACCCCAAAATAACATTATAATAAGATAATAATGTCCTTTTGAGCTTCTAAAAATAACTCAGAACTCTGCTACTGGCAGTATTTTTTTAATTGTTTACGCTTTTTGAATGACAATTTTGCAATATGTAGCTAAAGACTTAAAAGTACAGATTTCTTTTTTCTGAATAGTAATTACAATCCTACAATTGGCCCTAAAAAAATAAGAATGGAAAAATATTTGTACAAGAATGAATATTCATCACAAATTTGTTTATAACAGAAGACTGTTAGAAGGAGCTTAAACATCCAGTAACGGATGATGAAGTAAACTGTAATAGAAATATACAACAGAAAAGTACATAGTCAATAATGACACGGATCTACATTTACTGATATGGAAAGATGATCATGATATATTTTTGAATGGAGATCACATTATAAAAGAGAATATATAGAATTCTAGTTCTGTTTTAGAATACACAGTATGTATTTGCATTATGATATACCTAACTATATGTAAGTATAGATATGCAGGTATAGAATAATCTGTATCAAAATATTAGTAGAGGTTACATCTAAGTGGATAATTAGATTTTCTTTTTTATATTTTTCACTTTTCTTTAGTTTTTATAATAAGCATGTATTACTTCTACAATTACAGAAAGTTTAAACACCAATCAATCAACCGTCGAACCACGAAGAATCTCAATATCTGATTTTCCCCATGCCTTAAACATTGATGATAAATATCAGAATGTCCTGGCATCAAAGGAGGCAAGTAACTACTTCCTGGTGTAAAAGAGGGCCTGTAATTATCAGATGAGACAATCTTTCAGAATATGATATCAGGCATAATTACTTAGCACAGCTCTGAAGTGCAGAAGCGTATCAGAGAAAGAAATATTTTCCTGATACAAGTTTCCCTTAACAGAGAGAAACAGTATAGGTAACACACATAATGTGAGGTAGGAAAAAACTTACTGCAGTGGATAATCTGGATGCCAACGTCATTTCCAAGTTCCCTTTGAGACCAAGAAGTGCCGGGACTAAAATGAAAACTTCTGTAACTTTTCTGAACACCTCCCAGTGCTGTAAGAAAAATAAAATAAAATTTTCTGGCACTCTTTAAAAAATACTTTAGAACAAAGACATTTCTAAAAATCTCAGCCTTTTTCCCAACTTGGCATCTACATTTTGAATAACTACACAGTTCATGTAATCAGCGAGCACCTAGCTTAACCCCATTCTCCTGAGCTCTGAAGCTCCAAGTCACTTTAGAAGATGCAGTTAGACCTGGGAGTCAGCTGATATGTTGCTACAACCCACTCTACATCTACTTGTTATATAAGCCTTATATTCCTAAAGGTTTTACTTTATCCCTTTATGATGACAATCGTTAGACTGGCTAGTGGTTAAGAGCACAGACTCTGGAACCAGACAATTGATTTGAATCTTGCTTCCAATACTAATTAGAACAAACCCACTGGAAAATTACAGTGCTATTACTATCTAATTTCACAAATGAAGGAATAAAGACTCAGAGAGATTACGTTATTTCCCCAAGATCAAAAGATGGGACCTAGAGTTGACCCCAGGAGTTCTAAGTAATTCCATGTTTTGATCCCCATTTTCAGGTGTGAGGCAAAGAGGTTCATAAAAACAGCTCTAAATTGGAAATAAGGTTTGTGCTTCTAGCCATGGATCTGTCATAACTTGGCTTCATGATCCTGGATGAGTCACGTATCTTTCTGATCTCAATTTCTTCATCCATTAAACGAAAATAATATCCGTCCTGTCTAGCCTTTCGAGAAATACCATGTATAAATGAAAAACAAACTTCTAATCTCCCCAACCAAAGGAAGAGACCCCCTTCTCAGCCAAGGGCATTCCAAAGCAAACCTGAAAAACTAGCTTAGGCCATGATGGGAAGGGGGTGGGTCAGACATGCCTCATTATATCCTCCTCCCTTTAAAACGCAGGCACAACTGACCAACATTAACATTAAAACAGAGATCTTAAGACTGACAAAATAGACTCTTGGTAGCAATGAGATACCAAATTCCAAACTGTCTCTAGTATAGCATCACATGACAGCAGAACCTGAATGAAACCAAAGTATCTCACCCCAAAATGTATTTCTTTGACATATTTTTTAAAGGCCCTGCAAAGTTGTCTCTTGTGTGGAAAATCTACATTCTGTAGCAAAACCTTTTCCCTTTTCAGGTCTTTTCCTAATCCAGGAGAGATTAAGAATCTGGCAACTTTTTAAGTCTGGTATGACCATCTATTCTCTCTGAAGCCTGCTACCTGGAGGCTTCATCTGCATAGTAAGAACCTTGGTCTCCACGACCCCTTATCTTAACCCACATATTCCTTTCTATTGATTCTACATCTTCAAATAATTTAGTTCTTTAAACCAATTGCCAATCAGAAAAGCTGTGAATACACCTATGACCTGGAAGCCCCCACTACATTTTGAATAATTACACAGTTCACGTAATCAGCGAGCATCTAACTTAACCCCATTCTCCTGAGCTCTGAAACTCTGAATCACTTTAAAAGATGCGGTTAGAGTTGGGAGTCAGCTGATATGTTGCTACCACCCACTCTACATCTACTTGTTACACAACCCTCATATTCCCTTATATTGATTGCAGGTCCCACATTCCTGAACCAAACCAATGTATAACTTACATGTATTGATTGATGTCTGCCTGTAACTTCTGTCCCCCTATAAATGTATAAAATCAAGATACAACCCGACCATATTGGGCACATGTTCTCCGTACCTCCTGAGGCTGTATCACAGGTCATGATCCATAACCCTGGCACAATAAACTTCTAAATTGAGATCTGTCTTGGATGCTTTTTGGTTTACATATGATAATAAAAATAACACATATTAAACTAACAGATATTAAAGAGACATATAAAGATATTAAAGATACAAATAGCTTAGTAACACAAAGTGACATTTTACCGGTGCTATTAAAAGGTGATTGTCTCAGTAAGAGATTTTATGAGCTAGGCATATTAACTTTATGTCAAAAAGTATCAAAAATACACGTCATAACTACCAGGACAGATGAGAAAAGTAAAACTTATTATCTATCAGATAAATGAAGGAAAATTTCAATTTGTTTCCAAACTTTCCCTAGGCTGTTCCAAATAGATGTAGAACTGGGGGACCTAAAGAGACCTCAGAAAATATTTATCAGATCAGTCTTCTGTAAAATCCTGGTTCAAAGAGTTCACAAGAGAAATCCCTCTAATTGGGTTCAAGCCAATTAAGGATGGGCCTAAAAAAGCACTGGGAGGGGGGGTTCAATGGCACCCCAGATTATTAGTCTTTAAAACTAACCATCAAACAATTTTGTCCATGTTTACAATGGGCTAATGATTCTGATGTGCTAGTGAAATATGTATCTTTCAAAGACATTAATAGCAATGATGAATAATAATAATAATAATAATAAATATGAATAATATCTAACATTCACCGATTGTTATGTTCCAGGCACTTTTCTTTAGACTCACTCACTTAATCTTCACAACAAACCTGACAGATAGGTTTGTTGTGAACCTATCAGAATACCTTTTACCTAGGTCATCATTTTATGACACCTGCTATGATACCGTGAAGCATATATTTGGTCTTCAACCCTGTTTCCTGGCATATATCTAAAATCGTTAGAATCTCCAAAGTGATGTCTTCGTGTATGCTGATTGATGACAGCTGGCAGTAGATGTAGAGTGGGTGGTAGCAACATATCAGCTGACTCCCAACTCTAACTTCAGGATGGGGACTGGTCACCAGAAAGACCAAGGCATGATTAGAGGACTGGGACTTTCAAACTAACCTCACCCACACAAACACCTTTGGGGCAGATGGAGGGACTGAAGGTTAAGTTGACCACTGATGACCAGTGGTTTAATCAGTCATGCCTACATAATGAAGCTTCATAAAAGTCCAAAAGGACTTGGTTTGGAGAGCTTCCACAAAGCTGAACATTTGGAAGTTCCTAGATGAGGGAACACACAGGGAGGGCATGAAAGCTCCGTGCTTCTGCCCCCATTTCTTCATCTGTATTCTTTATAATATCCTTAATGATAAACAGGTAAACATAAGTGTTTGCCTGAGTTCCGTGAGCTGCTTCAGCAGACCAATCAAACCCAAAGAGGAGATCATGGGAACCCCAGCTTGAAGCCAGTTGGTCAGAAATTCTGGAGGCCAGGACTTGCATTTGGTATCTCAAGAGGTGGACAGTCTTTTGGACTGAGCTCTCAACCTGTGGGATCTGACGCTACCTCTGGATAGATAATGTCAGAATTGAATTGGAGAACACTAATTCTGCATCAACCAGTGTCTGCTGCATAACTGACTGCTTGCTAATGTGTGGGGTAAAACCCCCACACATTTGGTCACAGAAGTCTTCTGTGTTGGTTGTTGCACCATGAAAGCATCACATGCCATCACGATTTAGACCTGCTAGAATGCACGCCTATAGGTTACTCCCTTTGGTTATTCTTTCCACATTCAATTCAAATGAAATACTTACGTGAGAATTACTATGAAATACTTAACACCCAAGCATTGGTGTGACAACAGTAAGAGCTATGAATTACTGATTTCCCACATTGTGTCAAAAAATTCTACATTATTTTCTCCATACTAGTGAGAAATAAAAATCCAAATCCCCCAAAACCAACTGAAAGAACCCCCTCACAGCCAAAAGGACCCCAGAGTAACCTTGAAAACTGAGTTATTGGCCAGGACAGCACGGGAGATCAACAACCACATCGCATTATACCCCTTCCCTTTTTAACTGCCATAATGCTTTCTTCCCTAAGGGCTAAACAAAAATCAACCTTTTCAAAAGACTCCACTGCTGATCTTGACTGCTTCCACCCTCTTTTGTAGTTTCAACAAAACAACTGACCAGCCCTCCTTCCTGATAAGAGACCACCGATCACAGAGTGGTTCTGGCCAGTCTACATGCAACTCATGAAGAAGTATGAAGTTCCACTGCACATGCACACGTCTCTCTTTTTACAAATATTCACATGACTCCTCTTATAGAATATTAAATATGTACGTTTGGCCACCCCACTCAGCATAAATTCCTATTTCCTTTTTTCCCTCCTTTGAAATGTCTGTTTCTGGCTTCTGACTAGAGGCTATGCTTCCCAGCCTGTCAGAATGGCCACCTTGCAGGCTGCAACCCTGTATGAGATATAAAGTTCTCCTTTCCAAATTTATGTACCTCATCATTCAAAAGTTAACACCAGGTCAGGCAGTGGTTCACGCCTGTAATCCCAACACTCCGGAAGGCCGAGGCAGATGGATCACTTGAGGTCAGGAACTCAAGACCAGCCTGGCCAATGTGGTGAAACCTCATCTCTGCAAAAATCAGCTGGCATGGTGGCACGTGCCTGTAATCCCAGCTCCTCGGGAGACTGAGGCAGGAGGATCGCCTGAACCCGGGAGGCAGAAGTTGCAGTGAGCTGAGATTGCACCATTGCACTCCAGTCCGGGTGACAGGGTGAGACTCTGTCACACAAAAAAAAAAAAAAAAAAAAAAAAGTTGCCACCACCTGATGTGCTTGCAGAAGTTCCCAAACTTTCTCAGTTCATGGCATGCTTAGTATCTGAGAAATATTTTCATAGCATCCTTAGGACAAAAAGAATACCTAACAATCCTATGTATTAAGTAGTTAGGTCTGAACAACTTAATAAATATTTATTTCCTAACACTTTAGTAACCATTTGAGGAAATTATACAGGTAAACTGAAAGAAAAAAACAGTATTTTATGTCATTTTTTACAACCACAATTATTTACTAATGGGATATACGTATTATATTGGGCACTGCACAACTTCTCAAATGTTGGAATTGGAAACTGTCACCCTCATCTCCTGTTTTATATTGATTTTTGTGTAACTCTTGCTTTTTATCACAGTGCTACTGAAAACACAGTTTTGCAAAGACATATCATCCAAAGAAATGGAGTGTGATCTAATGTTGAAATGTTAAGCCACCTTGAGCCAGTAGTCTGCAATGCATCCAGGAGACATTGTGTCTCCCTC